AAAAGATGCCGAACATCATTACTTATGAGGGAAATGGAAATCAAGCCCATATTGAGATACTACTTCACACCCATTAGGATGCCTATAATCAAAAAGATGGACAAGGCAGGTGTTGGCAAGAATGTGGAAAAATTGGAACTCCCATACGCTGCTGGTGGAAATATTAAACAACAGCCACTTTGGAAAACAGTCTGGCAGTGCGTGAAAAAGTTAAACATAGCGTCACTGTGTGACCCCACAATTTGTCACCTAGGTATATATACCTAAAGACAGGAAAGCATGTCCCCACAAAGACTGGTGTGCAAATGTTCACAGCAGCATTACTCATAAAAAGCCAAGGAGTGAAATCAAATGCCCAGCAACTGAAGAAACAAGAAACAAAGTGTGGTACATCCATACAATGGGCTGTTACTCAGACAAAGAAAGGAATAAAGTCCCAGACATTGCTACAGCCTGTGAAGCCTTGAAAGCATTATGCTAAATGAAAAGGCCGCATGTTGTATGACTCCATTTCCATGAAATGAACAGAATAGACAAACCTATGGGGACAGAAGGTTGACTGGTGCTTGCCCGGGGCAGGGGGAGGCGGGCAGAGAGCTACTGGGAGAGACTTTATCCAGGGGATAATGAAGATCTGAGTTTCCATGGTGGTGATGTCTGCACAACCTTGTAAATATACTAAAAGCCACTGAATCGTGTATACTTAGCAGATAAAATTTATGGTATATGAATCAGGTCAGTTAAAAAGCAAGACAAGGAGAAATTTCCAAGGAGAGCAGATGGGGCGGGACTTTGCCCAATGAGACACGTTCCGAGCAGAGGCGCAGAAGCACAGAGCGGGTGGGGAGCGGGGCCTGACTGCCGTGTCTGCCCCTCGTTTGGCACGGGGCGCCACGGAGTTTGCCCAGCCCGACGCTTTCAGGAGGAATGCTCTGCATTTGGGAGGACAGAACAAAGGAGGGTGAGACCGGGTGGGAGGAGGACCTCAGGTCCAGGGGAATGAGTAAGGCTGAATCCGTGATGAGCGTTGCCAGGGTTGGAGAGCCTGTGAGGTCCCTTTGCATGTGGGGTCTGCTGACAAACACCCATCATTCTCCCCTTTGCTAGGTGGGAGACTGGCTTGAGCCACCCAGCCCGTGCACACACGAGCCAGAATCCAATCTGGGTCCTGCTGGCCGTCCAGCCCTGTTAGGAAGCAGGTCAGACCAACAGGGCCTGGGGCAAAGCCAGCGGCCCTCTTACCCAACCGAACACGGCCCTCGGGGGTGGTGAGGCCTTTAAATGAAGAAGAACAAACAAAGGGCAGCTTCAGCTGTAAAATCCTGATGGTGTGGGTTCGTGTTTGCAAAGGTAGGTGTTGCACACGCGTGTGCCCAGTGATTCTGACCAGTGGTTATGTCGTCCCCCAGTCGTGGCTTTGGAGTGGGGGGGGTCTGGGCTTCAGGGGCATTCTAACCAAAACCAGCAGGACAAAGCAAGCCCCCCGCCACTGCGAGTTCTGATTCCTCCAGGAAATTGCTGGAGGCCCCAGAGAGTGGGAACAGCACTGGCATCACCATTAAAGCTTCAAATAATTAAATGTCATTTGTAACCGATACCAAATTTCATCAACCTGGGGGCCGGAAGATGAACGTTACCTGGAGTACACATCACTCAATCTTAGGGACGCACTCATATAAAAAGCGTCTCTAATGTGCATGATCTAATACAAATGACCTGGAGGACAAATGCATAATCATGATGACATACCTGTGACTTTCTCCCCAAGGACCGCCAAGGGCTGTCCCATATGTTTTCATATGGATCCTCACGATCTTAATGAAATTAGGAGTTATCTTCAGGGCGATCTGTCCACAGGTGCCGCGGGCCTCACGCTGGGCCTGCTCACGCCTCCGGTGGTTTTTCAGCCCAGGAGACCGTGGGAAATAACTGTGGAGCCCGGAGGGTGACTGGCATTTAATCTGGGGGTGCTAAAGCCCTGGGCAGTGCTAGGTGAGGAGGAATTGCTTGGCACCCCTGCGGAGCGAGCCAGAATCAGCTGTACCCTGCCTGCGGGCATCCCCGTGCAAGGATCCACTAACTTTCCCAAGAGATTTCTTCTGGGCGTGTAGAATGGACACACTGAGGAAGATGAATGCAGCCTCGTTCTAGAATGCCAACCTGCGCTTTTCCTCATGCAGCCAGTGGCGCGAGAATCATCATGCGCTCCGTAAAGTTCCAGAGGAACCGCAGTGATGCTCAGTAAATACTGGAGAGATTGTAGTATTTTTTTTTTTTCTCCAACACTGAAGTTGGAGCTACAACAGGATTGATAAGATTCCCTAAATAATTTGAAAAGAACTGGTGTCCCTGTACTACTTGCAAAGCACTGCCTCTGGGAACACTGTAAGCATCCATGCAGCAAAGGCCAGGCGAGCCAGGCCATCCGCAGCCTGCCCGTCTCCAGTGGCGCCTGGGCCGGGGCAGGCCGGTCCCTCCAGCGCCTTAGTCTAGGCCACACCTGGCATTCCTTCAGCCACGCAGTGCAGCCATCGTGAAGAGCTCTTTACACGGGTCCTGTTATTAAGTCTCTAAGAACGCTTTGAAAGGTGCAGCTTTTGTCCCTGTGTTGTAGCAGAGGACGCAGAGGTCACACAGCAGGCACTTGGTGACACGGTTTTTCCCTAGGACCCTGTCTCCAAAGCTCACACCCTGAGCTTGGTGCTTTGCTGCTGGGCTATTATGAGATTGGTGACTGAGGGTTATTTTGTGTGACAGCAGATGACAGATCCAGTCCAGTGGCCACATGTCTGCGTGTGTCCCCCCTTCATCCCACCCATATAAAATGGGCAGCTTGGGGCGGGGGGCTCACCCTCTCCCACGCCCATCCTCTGCCCCATGGGACACTGTCTTATTTCCAGCGCGTGGGGACCACATGCCATGCGAGCACAGTGGGGAATGGATGGCTGAAGTCATGTTCGCTGTGATTTTATCTTATCTCTCAGGCTTAGCAAACAGAGAGACAGACCCTGGTCAGTCTCATGTCTCTATCCTGATGCATTAAGTTCTTATTTCCCAGTGCATGGTGGTCACATATACAACCAAGGACTCTCAACTCAAAAGCCATCCTTTCAAGATTGTTGAGCTAAATCATGAACTCTTCTAATTATTGGATAATTTTGTGACATGGGGGTAATTTTGAAAAAATTATTTCAAGGAATAATTTGCGTAGCGCTCTGCACACCTCATGAGTGGGCAGTAAGCGCCACCAGTTTTGACAGCCACATACACGTTTCTTAAAATAAGAATGCCCAGAAGTAGTCAGGGTTTCATGCCTGTGGTCCCTCCCTCCCAGCAAGGTTGGGCAAACCTTCCTGGAAGGAACTTGGCACGGTGTGTAAACGGCCTTTAAGACCCAGCATTCCTATAACATTTATCCTAGTAAGTGAAGGCTGTGGAAAAGATTTCATTGCAAAGGTATCATCACATCGTTGTTCATAATAGTTGAAAATTTTAAATAAAGCAAGAATCCAAGATAGGTAATTAAGTTATCATTTGGCCTAGAATATAAATAATGTATCTGTTTGCATAATATAAAGTGTGTATGTGATTATAGCACATAGTTTATACAGTGAAATACTTTGACACCTTTGAAGATTAGGATGCCACTGCAAATGTAATGACACAGAGAGGTAGTCACAGTATATTAAGTTAAAAGCTTCTTACAGATTGGAATGCACCCCAAATTGTTCATTTTGACGTTGTTTGTAAAAAGCCTCTGAGACTGCAGCCTTAGAAGGATGGGGTCGTGTTACCAGCATCTGTGGCTGGCGCGTGTGACCATGCTTTTCACAAAGTGAGAATGGCAGGCTGGCAGCCCCCGAGGGCACGCCTCCTGGTGTGCTGGAGGCCCGGAGCCAGTGTGCTGAGTGAAGACCATGCAGATCGTGACCTGCTGAATGAGGAGACACAAGCCACCCACCTGGGGTCGGCAGGGAGTCCCTCAGCGTCTGAGCGCCAGCTCTGGGGAATGGGACCCGTGGTGTTGCTGGGTGGAAGGCATGGTTTCCGCCCTCACACAAAGACGCAGAGTCGTAGGATTTGTTCCTTAGAGGCTCCAGAAACAGGGCCTGGGAGGAAGGTGCAGTGAGCCCAGGGGAGGCAGTCCTCCATGCCAGGCCACGAGTGAACAGGAGACGGAGCAGCGGGGGGAGCTGCACCTGTGATTTACGGGGGTGGGGGAGGTAGCGGCCACTGACTTTCCACAGGTCAGCTCGAAGTGGCGTTTTAAAAGGTGCCTCAGGAAAGGCCAGGCAGGAACTTGGGGTGGAGTCCTTCTGTAAACGCCCACACTTGGTGTGCGCAGACTGTCACACTCCGGTGCCCTGGCAGTAGCTCTGAAGAGCTGCTTCCTCAGCACACCTAGAGTGCTGGCACCCGCTGGTGGCCCTGTGCTAAAAGCAGTGAAGTTGGAGGAGGCATGATAGTTGGACTTAGCCTCACAGCATTGAAGCATGACCTCCCTGTGCCTCACCTGCCTCTTTTGTAACAAGGTCTGGTTGTCTTTTTATTCCCCTAGGCTAGGTTTGGGGGAGGGCAGGTGGTTAGAAGTGACATCTAGAATGCCACGTTTGCCCACCTGTGTGATTAACAGTGAGAATGAGCTGTGTTTAAACAGCCTGATTTTGAAGGGCTATCAGCAGGTAAGAGACAGGTACAAAACTACGAGCTCCTCAAAAGGATAAACATAAAGAGTGACCATATGACCCAGCAGTTCCACTCCCAGGTATATACAGAGGAGGAAAGGAAACATACGTGCACACAAAGTCATGTCCACACGTCTTCATAGAAGCATCATTCCGAACGGCCAGAAGGTGGGACAAGCCAAGTGTCCATCAGCTGGTAAGGAGATAAACAGTACAGTATAGGCTGTGTCCATGCAGTGGGCTGTTTTTCAGCCATAAAAAGAGTCAATACTAGTTTGTGATACAACGTGAATGACCTTGAAAACACTGTGCTAAGTGAAAGAAGCCAGTCACAAAAGACCGCAGACTGTACAATTCTGTTTATATGAGACATGGAGAATGGACATCTCCATGGAGACAGAAAGATGGGTGGCTGCCCTGGTCTGGGAAAGGGGCAGTGACTGCTAACGGGCACAGGATCCTTTTGGGGGGTAAGGAAAATGTCCTGAGATGGTGGTGATGACTGCAAATGCTAAAATGTGAAAATGCTAAAAACGCTTTATTGTACACTTTGAAGTAACTTGTATGGTATGTGAATATCTCGATAAAACTGCTAGAAAAAGAGAAAAAAGTACATACGCCACATGTGCGAAGGGTTGAGAAAAGTAAAAGATAGTTCAAAGTTTAAGTGGAACCAGAAAAAATCGTGTTTCCGAGGCAAATAGTAACCATTAAGGAAGCACAGGGCGCCGCACGGGGACAGGGCAGGGCAAGGGTGCCTGTGGCCGTGGGGCTTGAAGGCAGCGCTGGCTCATTCTTGGACCCCAGTGACCTTCTCTCTGCAAAACCCCGTCCATAAGATCAGAGAGTCATTCGCGGCCAGCATGCAGGATTCCTGAAGTGTCCCATATGGTTTGGTTTGGGACGGGGCAGGGGCTTGTGAACTGTCTGGCACTGTCACGGCCCAAGTCAGAGCCCAGCATCTGTGCGGTGGCTCCCTGCAGGGCACCTTCCGGGTCCTGGCCTCTGCAGGAGGGGTTGGTGCCCACACCAAGGACAGTCCGAGCCTTCCTGGGGAGTCTGGTGGTCCAGCTGCGGGGAATGTACCACGTGGATGTAGACATTCTGGAGCCACGCTGGAGCCATGTCATCCACATCCTCGAGTGTCCTATTTACACAGGGGACACTAATGGGGCACAGCAGCCAGCTCAGCAAACACTGACGGTCTGCAGGGGCCTGGGAGTTTGTGAAGCACCATGGATGAGCCAGCACAGGCCCCCTCATCTGCAGCTAACTGACTTTTAACAGCTTAGTGAGGCCATTGGGCTTTTTAGTCTGGAAGAGATTAATTAAAGATGAGAGTTAGTAACAAGAGAAAAAATGACAAGAGATGAGATGGGGGAGTATTTCCTGAGGTTGTGGTGAGTGTCTCTGCAGCCCACCCCTTTCCGGGTCTTGTCAAAGCTCCTGGCAGCCTCCGTAGGCAGAGCAGGTTGGGGGCTACAGCTGTCCACAGCTGGCACACTGAGTAGGAGTTTTTCTCAACTCCAAAAGCCAAGCCAGATTTTGGGATTAATCTGCTGTTGTTGAGAACTGAGAATCGTCCACAGATGCCAGTGCAAATGGTCGTAATGATGCCTTTCAGACGGGTGTCCTTGGCTGTCTCTAGGAGAACTAAATACGTACCTGAAGGAGGGGAAAAGTCAGATAGCCTTGGTTCCCCACTGCTTAAAAAGCGGTTTCTCCTCTCCAAGAACAGTCTTACATTCTCCCCTCAGATTTCTCATTCATCATCCCAGCGGTCTATACCAACCCTGCCGGGAGCATGTGAGCCATGTGCATCATTTCAGGTGTCCTGGTAGCCTTAACCACTCTTCCGGGGTGAATCAGTTGGAGCAGCCGGGGTGGTGGTAAGAGGTCAGCCTCTGCCGAGTGCCGGGCTTTGGGTGCTGGTCCCCCAATTCCAGGAGCTGTGTGCCTTTGGGCAAGCCCTCTAGCCTCTCAGGACCGTGGAGTCCTCGCCTGCACCCCAGAGAGGAGAGTGCTGACCTGTGGTGGCTGTTTGAGCTCTAGAGCTTGTAAAGCCCCTCCTGCAGTGCAGCGGCCCCACCTTATCCATGGCGGTATGTTCCAAGACCCCCAGTGGATGCCTGAAATCACAGATAAAGCAAACACTATATATATCTGTTTTTTCCTCTACATACCTACCCGTGATAAAACTTAATTTATAAATTAGGCACAGTGAGAGATTAATAATAACTAATAATAGAACAGTGATAAGAACAGACTGTAATAAAGTTATGTGAAATGTGGTCTCTCACTGTACTGTTCTCCCCCTTCTTGTGATGATGAGGTGGCGAAATGCCCATGTGATGGGCTGAGGCAGGTGAATGACATGGGCACTGTGGTACCATTAAGCTGCTATTGACCATATGTCAGAAGGAGGGTCATTTACCTACCGACCACATGTTTACCTACAGCTGCCATGGGGTAACTGAAACCTCAGAGAGTATTCTTAGGGGTTTGCTGTGCCTGGCCAATAAATGGTATGTGTCCTTACCGCTTTGCTCCACCCAAATTCCGCTTCACTTCTACCTTGTCCCTGTTTTGGTAAAATGTCTTATACCATGATCATCTTCCCAAGGCCTGGGGTCCTGCCTCATACCCTGGTCCTGAGTCCTGGACTGGTCCCTGGACCCTTCAGATACAGACCTTTAGATGGGACACGCCTGTCCTGAGACATTATAGGTCGGGGCCACCTGCCCAGACTCAAAGCCTGTGCCGCCACAGAGCCTTCTACCCTTGGTCTGCCTGCCCCGATGATCACCAGCTTTATACCCCCAGCTTTTTGCCAAACACAGACCTGATTAAAATAGTGCTGGCTGGGAACTGCATGTATTCCCAGAAAAATCAGAGCCACCAGCTTCCCAAAGTAAGTCAGGGCTGCACTCAGAGATGGTGGGGGAGGTAGTAGAGAAGGTTATGGATTTCCCCAGGCACAGAGAGCCCGTGATTTTTGACTTCCAGACAGTTCTTTAGAGTAGCCAACCCTCCTTCTCATTAAAGATCCAATGACAGCCTTCATTAGAGGTTTGTCCTGGCGTCCTTGATAGTAAGTCCTCTCCAGACCAGTACTCCTTACCTGCCGGCTGTGACCTGCAGCAGCTTGATGCGTCAGGAGCACGGACTTCAGGGAGCCCGTTTGGGTGGTCGGTGAGAGCAGATCAGTTAACCCCTGTCCCGCAGCGCCCCCCGCAGAGGCGTGCTGAACAGAAGGCCCCCAAGGAGGCCCTTGCTTGGGAAGTGTGATCCCTCTTCTCTCCCTCCCCATTTATAATCCCTGGTAAAGCGTTTACCTGTGTCTTCGGTGGAGTTAGACCGAGTGTAAGCTGAAGACACTGTATAGAAAGGGCGGCTCCGATTCTGCATGTAATCACCCACACGGTCTCCTCGAAGTGGGGTGACTTCCTTCACCTGATGAGTGGAAAAAGAGAGTGTGGCGCTAATTCACAATATGCTCGCCAGGATGTTAGTGATGGGTGCTTAACTGGACAGCACAGGCTACTCGTAATTTTCCAAAGTTTAAACTCAGCACTTTCGAGTTTTTTTGAAACATTAAGAGAAACCATTTGCTCTTCCTAAGTGGTAGCCTACCTAAAACTCAACACCTAAATACACTAAGTATTTCTGAACCACACTGACTTGAAACCTAATAGACATGTGCAAAATTTACAAACCATTCGTCAAATGAGTTGAACAGTGACCAAAAATTGCTTGAATGCAAGGCAGCTCTCAGGGGTGTTTTTTACTTGCAATCCCTTTTTTCACTTACGTAACAGTTGATCATAGAGTAGACATAAAGGCGTGAGTCCTAGTGGAAGGAGTCAGATGAGAAAGGCCCGCGTGGTCTGTGACGCTGTTTCTGTGAGATACCCAGAGGGGCTAATCCTCAGGAGGCAGCAGATTAGTGGTGGCGTGGGTGTGGGGTCGGGGCCCCTCTGCAGAGCGACACGAGGTGTCTTTGGGGGCTGATAGGAATGTCCTCCCACCAAATTGGGATGCTTGCTCGGTTCTGTAGATTTACTGAAAATCATCGAATTGTATGCTTAAAACAGGTGGATTTTATGGCATGTAAATTATAGCTCCATAAAGCTGTTAGGGAAGAAAAGGCCTTAGTACCGCCCACCCCACTCCAGGGGCCCAGGACACAAGACAAAAAGAGGCAGCCTCAATAGGGGTGAAGCCACAAAGGGTCCCCTGCTGCAGTTGTGACAGTGACCGGAATTCCAGCCTGGGACAAGGACGGAGGAATCTGGGCCCAGATCGCTGTTCCTTGATTTTCAAAGCCTTTCAGGTCCATATGGATCCTGCTGGGGCCTCTTCAGTACTGGAAATGGCCTGAGGCCCCTCCCCAGGGTCCCCCAGTATGGGACCTCTGTCCATGAAGACAGTCATGCCGACTGCTTGGTGTGTCGTGAGGATGTGACCATTGGTCCTAGGTTTGAAAGCTTTCAGGGTACGTGGCTCAGAATCTGAAATTTATGTGGAGAAGAAAAGCATTCAGAGGAAACGTCAACAAGAAAAGCGCAGCAGGGGCCATGGGGCGGAGGAAACCTGGGCAGGGTGGGCTGATGACCACGGTGGTGTGGCCACGGCCTCGCACGCCTCGGCCTCACAGCCGGAGGCAGCAGTGCCCTTCAACAGGAGCTGTCCTCTCCGGCACATGTTCACAGTACAGTCTAGGAAATGAAAATAAGATTCTTTCACAATCAGGAGAATATTGCCTGTTTTTTAAAAAGTCAGGAACATCTGTTTCCTGAATGTCTTAAACATGGGTTGTAAACCATCTAGACATTCTCAGCATAGCCACCAGGGCGTCATGTCAAAGGGCTGGTTTCCAAAACGTACTTTTGAATTTTAATTCCCAGAAATGGTAGTAGATGATTGGGGAAAAGAGGTGTGCTTGAGAACTGATGTAAACAAAGTGAAGGCAGCTTGCATGTGGTATGACCTGTGCCACGAATGCCCAAGCCACAGGCACTGTTGCCCAAACTTACGTGGCAACAGAATGCTTCCCAAAGGGATACCTGCTGGCATCAGGGGCCACATTTGGGGTCGTGACTGTACCCTGTGTGCGTGGAGAGCTCCAGACATACACATGTACATGTCTGGTTTCACCCCCACTGAGTCTTTGGGGGTTACATGTAGTCTTCCTATGCAAACTTTTTGAAAAGAAACAATGCTTTAAGAATAATCTGAAAAGTATTTATATTATATGAACCTCTTTCCATGTCATTAGATATTTATTTTAAAGCGTTATTCTTGATGGCATCACAGTCATCCATCCAGGGGTGGAGCAGTCATGTCATCCTCCACCGCTGGACTCTGGGGAGACTATTAGCAGAATACTGGCAGGGCCTGGAGTGGGGGGCGCCCACGTGGGAGTACATCTCTGAGGGGTTACGGCTAATTCTTTCTAAGGGTGGGTTCCTTAACAAGATCAACGGTTGTGGGCTTTTGGAGGAATTCGTGTCATTACACTGCTCTCCAGAAAGGCGGTGCCCCCACACACACACGTGCCTGTCCTTTCCATTCTTCACCTGGGACCCTGCCCCTGGAAGTCCCGTCTGTGAGTCACCTCCAGGCTCATGGTTCCAGCCTTGATTGGGTCACTTCCCCACTCACCAACCTGCTCTCATCATCAGGCTCATTGAGCAGCATGCACGTGTGTGTGTGTGTCTGTGCGTGTGCACGGAGAGAAGGACTTATTTTAAGCAGTCGGCCCACAGGATACTGAGAGCTGGCACGTCTGAAATGTGCAGCAGGCTGGTAGGCTGGAAACTCAGGCAGAAGGAATGCCGCAGTCTGGAGGCAGAATTTCTGCTTCTGGAGGAACCCCAGGTTTTGTTCTCAAAGTCTTTGATGGACGTGATGAGGCCCACCCGTGCTGTCCGTGGAGAGCTGCTTTATTTGATGGCAGCTGATTGTAAATGATGTCAGCTGTTCACAGCAACATGTAGACACGTGTTTGATTACATCACTGGACATCACAGCCTGGACACGTTGACGTGAAATTGGCTGCCCCACGTGCTGTGGCTGGAACCGCCCAGAGAGTTCCATCCCAGCAGAAGCCGTGGCTCTCCATCCGGGGGACTCACTTTATTGGGCCCTTTTGCCTTTTAAAGGACGATCTCCCTGGGTCAGCGTTATTACTAAGTGACATCGTGAACTACGCCCTGGTATTTCCTGCCCCCACATGGGCTTCACACATTTCTGGCCCCCTTCTCACTGTAGAATCCTGTACTTGGGCCAGACTGCACACTGCACACAGGGCCCTGCCCATGCCCCCCTCCCCAGCAGCTTGCTTCTCACCCCACGTGGTTATGCAGGGGCCACGCCCATGCCCTCCTTCCCCACCCACTCTGCTCTTCCTTCCAGTAGGTCTGGCTGCATATGGTGATCCTGGGGCCTGATGGGGAGACACCGGGCAGGTAGTTCCTGACCAGGCCAGATGGGACCCCAGGCCTGCCCTCAGGGCTCTCACTGGAAGTGTTTTGGTAATGTGATACATGCCAGCGCTGCAGCCGGAGGAGGGAGACAGACACGTCAGGGGAGGCTTCGTGGAGAGAGGGACACGGGCTGGCAGCTGGTGGGCCAGGGAGAGGGCAGCTCCAGAGAGGGGGAGTGGCCTGTGCAGAGTCAGGACAGGAGGATCTCCCTCCACGCTTGCGTTCAGTGCTGCTGAGAGCTAAGTCCTGAGGCATGAGGGCACCAGGCAGGACAACTCTGAAATGCCTCCTAACTAGCCAGTTAGCTGCTGCAGTTTCATAGAGCTGGTCGAAGATATGCAACACCTGGGTCAGAGACAAAGCAAAGCTTTTGCTCAGAGCCATAGCAGTAGCCAAAAATTAGCACCTGTGTCAGTTCCCAGCCCCTAGTTCCCATAGGGTGACGTGGCTGGGGCAGGTCACGTCTGTGCCCACAGCAGGCTGCTTTGCAGGAGGATCCCCGAGCTTAGGGAACCCTAATCAGTCACAATGGGCAGGAAACGCATCAGCCTCAGCTCCAAGGTGGACGCCGTCCCTCTGGTCCAAGGCAGTTCACTGTGCGCACGTTCTCAGGAAGATGGCTGGAAACGGGCAGTTGAGCCTCTGCTGGAAGGATGTGCAGAGATGCAAGTCACCAAGGGAGGGAGACAGGGTGAGGGCACCTCTCTCAGCAAGTCCTCAGTCAGATGCTATAAGGGCCAGAACCATCCCTGCTCAGGCGAGGAGGCCAGTGGGCAGCCTAACAAGTCTGGGGGCTGTGGATTCCCCAGGCCAAAGGCAGAGGAGGTTTCATGGAGACCCTACAGCCACAAGAGACTGATGCTGGCCGGCGTCAAGCTCAGTGGGCCGCTGTGTGCCTGCTGGGCACGGCCAGCCAACTATACTCTCTACAAGCCTTCTATTCTCAATGGTGTGGATGTTAGATTCCTGTGCTGCTCTGACAACAGCCTCACACTTGGGACCACAACGTAAGGGACCTTACAGCTGGGGAGGTCAGAGGTCCAAAATGGGGCACCTCAGCTGCGTTCCTTCTAGAGGTTCTGGGGGTCTGTTTGTTTGTGGCAGCTACTCACCCTGGCTTATGGCTCTGTGTCACTCTGACCTCTGCTTCTCTGATATCTCTGACCCTCCGCCTCCCAGGGACATTACCATGTGAGATAACATAGTCTCAGGTTCAGGGGCTTTGGACGTGGACACCCTCAGGGGCCTTTATCCGCCACATTATGCTGCCCCCTCTAGAGGGGTGGCCCTCATCGTCAAGCCCACCACAGTAGCGGCCTACCTGCTCATTTGTCTCCGCCCAGGTGGGTGCACATCTCAGTCTGGGGTACCGCCGAACGTCTGGTGGAAGGAAGACCATGTAGAATCTGGAGGAGGAGGAGGACCTCGGCCGGCATGAGGGCACCAGGCAGGAGGCTGGGTCAGACTCTGCCGTTCCGCTCACCGCCCAGGCCCTCCACCTCCTTATTTAAGAAAAAATGGGATTAACTGCTCTTTCCAGGGGGCCCACTAGATTGTTGTGAAGCTCACAGGAGAAATGCACCAGGATGCATTTCTGAACTACATACACTCTGTTTTGAGTGAGAGCCACTCCATGTGTCACGATTGGGGTAAAACATTGACCAGTTGCTGGCAAATGCCACACCTCTTGGTTAAAAGCCACCAAATCATTAGTCAAAGCTTCTGCAGAGAGAATTTACTGGTGAAATATGTGGATGGTAGAAAAATGTCATGTTTCCATCTGCTTAAAGTTCTGCAGTTTTTTGTAGGGCAGTTATCCATATAAAATACTTTTTTCTTTTAAGTAGAATCCTATTGCTAATGAAACCATATTTTGAACATAAAATTGTTACAAAGAAGAAAAGATGTCATTATCAGCAAAGCAGCAATAGTTCGCACATTTGATGGTCTAAATAGGACGTTCCTCTTCTAGGGGAGATGAAAGTGGTCCTCTCGTATCAGCCTATGAAATTATTTTAGAATCGAGTTTTAATCCCTGGAGCAAGGGAGGGAAATGGAACCCTAACATAGGTTCCATGCATGGGAAGTCAAATCTGAAATTCAGAGACAGGATATATAGGATAGCATGTCTAGTCACTAATCCAAAAGAAATATGAAAAAAGAGTTGTTTAATGTTGGCAGAAGGCAGCTTGAAAGGTAAGGCTTCCTTCCTGCAGTTTCCCCCTGGTGCCCTGTTCCCCTGATCACATTTGCTAGATGTCCATTTCTGTAAGTTTTCCCTCTAGAACAAACCTATCATTTTTCACCACAGGATATTTACAGCTTCAATCAGTGCCAAATTCAATTGGCTTCTGATCTCATTGCTGGAAGTTATAGATGCAGATATTATTTGCACTGTGGTTAATTATGGAGCAATCAAACTTTGGCTTTTCCACTGTAATTTCCTCTGCCAGCTAATTTAATTAATCACCCCCAGCTCAGCTCCTCCAGCTGCGACCAGCCGGGTCATTAATTAGGCGTGTGGTGGTAGCTCACCGACCAGGTCCTGTGTGGAGGCTGCTGCCCGTTGGATCTCTCACGGAGGGAGTGCTTTTCCTAAGCACGCAGGCAGGATTAGGGGTGGGAAAGCCTTGCTCCATCCCCTCCAGAAAGGCAGACGACTCCCAAAAGGCCCATCAGGAGCAAACAGCTTACCTGCAGTGGTGACTGGTTTATGAAACTCGCTGAGTTAAAGAAACAAGGCTTCAGCTTCCATCGAGACCGGCCTGGTGAACTTAGGAAGGAGCAGTCGCTGACCATCATCAGCTCTGGGCTTTCCGACCAGCCTCTGTGCTGTCAGTAAGGCAGGTGCCACTGTGAAGAACCAAGCCTGTTACACATACACGTTCTCCTTCTGGGCTCATTCCATCCATCATAGGGCTTAGGAGGCTGGCTTTCTCCCTAGAGGAAAGATTAAGGCATCCTTTTTGCCTTGTCATAAGGAACCAACTTTGTTGACCTGCACCCATCAAAACTGATGCCTAAATCCTTCGAGTGATTCTCCCATTGCTTTGCTTTGAGCAGCCTGTTTATTTTCCAGCAGCTGCCAGCTTATCTTCTCTGCAGAGAGGATACCTGTATAGAAAATAACCATTATTAAGAAGTCATCACTGGGATTCCGTGTGTGTGTGTGTACATACGTACAGAAATACCCAAATATGAGGCTTCTTTATAATTATTCTTAGAGTTTCTTTTCTTATAATTCTGCGGGGCTTCTTAACTTGATACATTACCTAGGAAGATTTTTTTTTTAATACTTCAGAGAAACTAAATAGTAAGTCTGATTTTCTTACAAAAGGATAAATTGATGAACAGGTGTTTTCAAGAGCTGTAATAAATCATCCTAGAACAAGGAATGCCTCTTCCGAGCTCCTATCCAGCGCCCTGCCCTCAATTAAATGAATCAAAGAGATAAATGTGAATGTGTGGGCGCATCACACAAAGGGTCCAGCTCAGTAATTAAAGGGATAATAATGCATTGTGTGCCAGGTGGAAGATGTGCGGGAGAACTCACAGTCTGGAGGGCTGGACCTGTCTGTTCAGCCGGACAGGAAGCATCCCCATCATAAAACCCCCACGGCCTCCAAACACCAAATTCCCCTCCTGCCAGGCGTGGGGCTGCCGAGGCCCTGCCGGGTAATGGCCCCAATGGTGCTTCGCTTTGGTCCTGCCTTCCTGAGGAGGAGGGGTCTGCGCGGCCGCCTTAAACTTAAGTGTACTCAGTCTTGACGGCCAGCCCGTGACCTGCTGGCATATTAAAATTTAAATGCACGGTACATTCATTCATTTCACGCTGTAAGGATCGGTCTGGAATGAATTAAAAGTAGAGGTTTTTCCCTAACATTCCTACTCTGTTGTTGGGAATGTGGGACATTTTGAGAACTGCAAAACAGCTGTATTGAAGGTTTCTGCATATTTCTATTCTTAAAAAACGGGCAAAAAAAATTTCATTTTTCAATCATTTCCTTCTAAAGAAACCTCTCTTTGGGTTTAAATAATTGAAAACTCTAAAATTAATCTGTCTTCCTAGTCGGAACTCAAATACCCACTGTAAGAATTTTTGTTTGCCCGATTCCATTACTCTCTGAACTGTAGAAATGGAGGAAAACCACGATTCTTTTGAAGTCCTCAGCCACTCAGAGCCATAAAGTACGAGTCAGGAAGTTCTTCGGTTCCTGCAGCCCCCCTGACCCGTGTGGACAGGTCTGTTTGGCAGAACGGGTCTCGCCAGGCTCGGTTTGCTCTTGCTGGGAGGCCTCTAATGCTGACCTCGTGGCGGGCCCAGCTGCCCCGCAAGTAACATGCCCCCGCAGGATAGGGGTGATTGGACAGCTGCTGTATATCCCAGGGGCCCGGCAGGTTGCACGGGCCCAGCACACTCACTCGTGACTGCTGCTGCTTTCTCATTCTCTGCTGCATCCCCTGACGGCCTTTACTGTCAGTAAAAAGAAATGCCACCCTGAATAGGAGTGGGGGGTGCAGGGCAGGGCCTAGGGCATGACCAGGCCCCTGTAGTGGCCCCTGAGGGCACCCCGTGGCGTTCCAGGCCCAGGGAGCTGCCCTGCTCCGTGGGTCGGCCCAGGATGTGGCCCAGCCGGCTTCCTTTGTGAGGGCGTCCCAGCCCCGGGAGGAGGGCTCTGGTGGGGACAATGGCTGTCCGTCAGGGAGAACAAACCCCATGTCCTGGCCTTGGGTTCACTGGCCCGGTGGGGTGCGGGGATGGCAGAAACCCTGAGCACAGTTGTCATTTCTCTCGCTTGCTGCTGCCTTGGGGCGGGACAGTCTTGGAATCGGCCTCATCTTCTTCCCTTTGTCCCACCCCCTCTCCCCGCTTAGAAACAGGCCCTGAGAGTCTGAACGTTGGAAGTAACTGGATTCCAATTCTAATGCATCTGTGGAGTTTTTGGTGATTAAATTAGCCTAATAGATACCGTTTCTTACATGACTGCGTAATTTTCCCCTGGCCGGATCTCAGGAGCACAAACATGGACCCCGGTTTACTATGGACGTGATGAGCTCAGAAGGCAGGTCAGAACTCTGCCGCCTCCTGTTTTCCAGGTTACAAGTTAAACTGATTGATGCTCGCAGGTTAGCACCTTGCTGCTCCCAGGCAGGTGCAGACTATGTTATTTTTGAAGAAGAACCAAAGAAGAAAATACTGTTTCATGTAATTTTGAATCGTCATCTTCTATTCAGATACCAAGAGATATCCTGGCCTTTTCAGATCCTGTGGGTAGCACTTTACTTGTAGGTTGCATGTTTTTTTTTTAAATAGTAGGAAATTTTATCACAGTAAAACCCCATATGTGAACTCAGAGCATAGATCTTACAAGTGTGAAGACAGTTTAGACAATTATAAAATCTCTCAGATACAATTTTAGCTCCAGCGTCTTTATTTCTTGTAGAGCCGCTTAAACTCTTGGTCAGGAATGAGGGAGTGGGGGAAGGCGCGGACCCCGACCGACTTCTAAGGGGGGCTTCGTTGGCCGGTCATTGCTCGGCCTCATTTCTTTATTTCTGCACGTGAATTTAATTTCTCCAAGAATGTGCTGCTCCCCTCCCCTTCCCCATGCCGGCCCTGCCTCCCCTCCCAAAATCTGCAAATAAAATTCCTGGCTACCTCCCTGGTTCAGTAGCTGGAAACAGCTGGTGGGTTTTGTGTAGCTGCTGAACAGTGGGGGTAAAGTTCTGGCAAACACTCGGGAAGCCCAGGACAGAGGAGGTAGGTAAACTCAGGAAACTGTTTTCATGAGTAAATGAAGGAAACAAAGGCCGCTCAGCAGGAACAGAAGGGACACACACTCCCCTCTGAATAGCTCCCTAAAAACAGAGCTGAAAAGGAAGAAGGCCCATTTGCTTCTGGGAATCCAATAAATTGTTTCAGGAAGTGAAAGTCTGTCCAGGCTAATGGAGCTGTGATTGACAGTGCTTCTCATTATGGAGCCCATCAGGGGATGGGGCATTCAGGGCGTTCAGGGGGCGAGGTGGGAGAGGCAGCGGGTGGGGGAGGGGGCTGTGTGCTCGCTGAAAGGCATGCACCTCGTGCCAGGAGAACTCATCCTTCAGGAGCATTTACCTGTTCTTTTAACACATCCCGCCTGCCATCTGCAGAAATGCTCCCAAGAGCACCCCTGCGCCACTGCTTCTGCTGGCACAGCCGTGACGCAGCGGACAGGACTGCCAGGTGCACACCCTGGAACGGCCACCGGGGACCGGTCTGGTCTTCTGCACGGGGGTCCTCCTGTAGTGTGATGTGATCACCAGCATTTTTAAAAGCCTTTGTATCTATGTATGGTGCTGTGGATGGCCCGTTAAGGCCAGTTACAGGGCATTCTTTGAGAAGACAGCCAGAGATGTAGCCCTTTTCTGTGTCCACAAAGGGCCAAATTAAGGGGAAGTGGGCTTCAGTTAAACTAGATTGATTAATCATTAGCCAAGACTCCAGAATGGGCTCTGGGGGGTCAGGGGCACCATAGACCAGCCATCTCCATGGGAGCAGGCAACGTAAGCATCCTTTGTGGGGGAGACCCTCCACCTGCTCAGAGGTGTGGAGAGACCGTGGGGGCTGGTCATCCTTCTCAGAAGGGACGTGACCAGATGTGGTAAGTCAGATTAAACATCACCAAGTCCAGGGTCAGGCAAAGTGCATGAGACGTGCC